TGTGCTTAGCAACCTAAAGATTGTGCATATGTGTGCTAGCAATCTAAGGAATGTGCATGTTTGTGCTTAGCAATCTAAGGGTTGTGCATGTTGGTGCTTAGCAATCTAATTAGCCACTGAGCCTAGATTAGAGAGGAAAACCCCCCCTTCCAAGGCAGAATCAATTGAGTTGGTATTCCTAGGGCTTTTTAAGTCTCCTAACTAGGTTAATTTAGGGCAAACCTCAATATTGGATTAAGCAATTTAGTTAAGCGCGATTAAGCAGTCCAACCATCCGGTTGAGTGAGGGAGTAAGTCAACCATCGATTGCCTAAACCGAGAGGGCCGATTGATAGCCTAATTTGTATTCCTCGGTTTAGCAATCATGAGTGTGGTCTACGACCATATTTGCATCCCCTAGCGGTTCGCAATCACCTTGCCCATAGCAATCATTTCGGTTCACATACCATGGTAGTAGTTAGGGGGAAGCAACTCCTGGGTGAAGCTCTCTTAGTTAGAATTTTTCTTTATTGCTTGTTTCGTTTGTAGTTTTCTTAGTTTGAAAATCCAAAACCGTTTGCTAGATAACAACTTAAGCGATTGAAGTAGGGGTACATGGACCGGACCGGGTTGACAATTTAAATACTTGCTCTATACTCCACCCAGCTAGAGTTTAAAAACTTGGGCTCTAGTCGGGACTAATTTGTGGTGTAGTTTCGTGCGAGTCAACCAATTAATGATTATTTTTGCCATCGTAATTGTAAGTAATTGTTCTTCGACATGATTGTCATGTCGGTGGCATGCGACTGGTTGAACCTAGTAGAATTTATGTCGATCATGAAACGTGAATACCAATGGTATGGCCAACATGATCGATTTTCTGTCTCTAAGAATTTATTTATTTAGTTATTCTTAAGGGAGATATAGGTTTCGTTTTATTGTCATTAAGGTACTACAAAAAAGATTCCAAACTGGGATCTATAGGTTCTAGACTAGTAGTAATGGCAATGGGGCGGGTTTGCCTAAACCATCCTCATCCACATTTTCAAGTACCCAAACACATACCCACCCCATACCCATGCGGGAGAATGTTTTGCAAACTCATCCCCATACCCATGAGTTTTGGATACCAATGAGTAATGCCATGTACATCCAACATTATTATACCTAAAACCTTACAAGAATTTTTTTAATTATAACACTAAACGAACGTACTATATTAATAAGTCAACAAAACACAGTCATTTTCGTAATACAGTTCAAAAAATATGATCCACAAACAATCATTAATACAAAATATAAAATAAAATATTTTCCAAATTATTAAGCTCTGACTCTGATACATCTACTAGGGTTATAGGTATAATATGCCCCTCTACTATGACGTTTTATCAAACATGCCCCTCTACTATTTTTTACATCAAACATGCCCCTGTACTTTGGATAACTTATCAAACATGCCCTTTTGTTAAAATTTTCATCCAAAAACTGTAAACCAAGACCGAACTTTGGTTTGGGCGACCCAAATATCTAAAATATCCCTAATAATTTCACTTTAAAGTTTTTTTTTGTTCTTTTGTATAGCCAAATAATTCTAATAATTTCACTTTGATGAGACCTAGAGAAATAAAACAAGGCTCAAAACTGACATTTCCCCTCCCATTTATCGATGTCAGGTCGTCTAAATCTCGGTTCAACCATGATTGCCAATTTTTTCGATGGAAATTTCAACTGAAGGGCATGTTTGATAGTTTTTCCAAATTACAGGGGCATGTTTGATGTAAAAAATAGTAAAGGGGCATGTTTGATAAAACGTCATAGTAGAGGGGCATATTATACCTATAACCCCATCTACTAAGTTATAATTAACTAACATAATCTTATTGATTAGGGGGAAAGCGTAAGTGTGAAGCGAGAATTGAGGGAAATGAATAAGGTTTTGATTAGGGGGCCACTCAATTACATTTCTACTATATGTTTCTCGGGACGGGATACGGTGACAACCCCTAAGGGGGTTGTCAGATTCACAACCAAGGGTATTTTGGGTATGAAAAAAAGGAATATTTTAATTACCTCTTTTGTATTAATTATATTGGGAATTAAAAACCCATATTAAATACAATTTTTTTCTGAAATTTAAATCCTATACATTAATATCTCTATATCTCTCTCTCTCTCTTCCTTTCTCCAGCAGCCACTCAGCATCGACCGACAAACATTTTCTCCGGCAGACTCCCTCCGGCAACCTGAAAAAATGTACCAATGCGTTAAAAAGTGTACCAATCTATTTGTCTACTGGTAATTAATATACCAGTGTTAGTGGAACGCTGCCAGTACGTTAAAAAATGTATCAGTACTAGCGGTACCAGTAAAAAATGTACCAGTACTAGTGGTACGCTACCAGTAAAACGCTACCAGTAGAGAATAACACAACGCTACTAGCACTGGTAGCGCTACCACTAGCATTGGTAGCGGTACCAGTAGATAATAACACACAAAAAAAAAACAGATGATAGTGGTACTAGATGATAGGGGAGCCACTAGTATTGGTACCAGTGAGTAGTGGTAGCGTACCAATAGCGCTACCAGTGGTATTGGTACCAATAGTGCTACCAGTGGTATTGGTACCAGTAGAGACTATCAGATCTGGAAAAAAATAGGGATAAGGAAAGAGGGAGGCAGGGAAGAGTCTTGACCTCGCGGCGGCGACGGCATAAAAATGGTGGCGGCAGGGGAGGACAGCGGCGCGGCAGGAGCGACGCGACAGGGGACAGCGGCGCGGCAGGGCGGCGGGGACAACAGGCGCGATGGTGGGAGGGCTGTGACGGCGAAGAGAGGGTGAGGAGAGACGGTGATGTCTACGGGAGAGAGGGAGGATGGAGGAGTTAGGGTTTTTGTTCTTTTTATATGGTAGGGTGAATGAGTGGGTGTGGTAAATTTTTACCCTTCCAAAAATATCCTTCCTTTAATCTTACAGGAGAGAGAGCGTATCCAAGGGCTATGAAGTGGGTTGTGAATCTGACAACCGTTGTCACCGTATCTCGTCCCATGTTTCTCAAGTTACCTTCATTATCATTGATAGTTTACAATTTGATCCACATATTTATTTACATGCGAAAAAATTCTCTTAGTAGGGCTAGTATGAGTGTGAGTGTGAGTATGAGTATAGGACGGGGAGGCTAAAACTATACATGCCTCATACCATCAAACTTGCGGGTTTTACCTATATCTGTCTATATCTAGTCAAAATGGAAAATTCCCGTATTGATTGGGTTGGAGGCGATCGGATACATGCGATCATGAATTTGATTGCCATCCCTAAAACTAGTAGTATTGTTAGGCTGACTCCAATGCAACCCCCATAAATGGGGGAGCCTTCATAAATGGGGGAGGAAGCTCTCCAATGCAGCCTGCAAAAAACTACATTAATGGAGGTGGCCTCCATTTGTGTCTCCAAATATGGAGGGGGGGATATAGGGGAGTTGACATTTATGGGGGAGATGGGGGAGCAGATTGGGGGTGGGGGCGCACGCGCGCGGCTCTGGCGGTTGTCCCGCCCCTTTTTTTTCATTAAGTGTTTTTTTTTCATTAAGTGTTTGTAACTTGGTTTAATTAATGATGGTTATATAATTAATAAGTGGAGGTTAGTGAATTAATGTTTGTATTAATTAAGTGAAAGTTGTCTATTTAATTTGTATTTAATAGTTTGGTTAATTTATTTTATTTCCTAAGATGACTTAAATTGAATTCATTTTATTTAAAATTATGCTTATTATCTAGAAGTTGTGTACACAAAAATAATTCGAACTAAGAATGGAAAATATATTATTGAATTGAAAATACGTTCTTGAATTACAAATCAAATTGTCACCAACTACAACTTTAAATTGAATTACAAAGCATCCCAACATCAATACCAAGCAACAACAATAACTAATTATTTCCATGCAAGTTCCAAATATGCTCGACCAATTCCTGACGAAGCCCATGATGTGTTGGTGCAGCACGAAGCCTATTATTCCTAGCCAAGTACTCGGTTAGAGTTGGAATATCTCTGTTGACATTAGTTGGTTGTTGGTCGTGGACCGCATAATCAAGACTATCTTCCATCTCATCGTCAGAATCAACTTGCTCATCCTCGATTATCATGTTGTGCAATATAATGCATGTCAACATTATATCATTAATTGTGGCAACATCCCAAGATCTCGCAGGGCCACGAACGATTGCCATCTAGCTTGAAGAATTCCAAAGGCCCGCTCTACGTCTTTTCGATGTGATTCTTGACATCGAGCAAACAAGGTTTCTTTGTTTGAGCTTGGATTGCTGAATGTTTTCAATAAAGTTGACCATGAAGGATAAATACCATCAGCCAAATAATAACATTGATCATAGGTATGACCGTTTACCTCAAATCGTACTCGTGGAGCGGATCTGTTGAGGATACGGTCAAACACTAGAGACATCCCCAGAACATTGATGTCATTATTCGACCCAGACGGTATTTCGGGACAACCTTGATCTTCTTGAAAAGGACTTGTCGAAGTTAACACCAAGAAAGAGGAGGTATTACAAAATTCAGCAAAACCGGATTCTAGGATATGATCAAGATGATCCCAACTCTGTTCCTAACTATTCATCCAACGCAAGTCAGACCGGAGGAGGAGATGAGAGTGGAGGAGGAGATGAAGGTGGAGGAGGAGATTACGGGAATTACTGTTCCATTCTGGGCGATTATTGACATGTTATGTGTTTCATCTTTATCATTTCAAGTATTGTGTGTTATTTTTAAGCTTTATCATTAGCAAGTGTTGCGTGTAACCTCTAAGTTGTATCATTTAAATTATTATGTGAACTCCTTTAGTTTTATCATTTTCAAGTGTTGTGTGTAAACCAAAATTAGGTCCATAATTTTTTTGCCAAAAAAATTCGGTCTCGAAATTTGAAAAAATTCTATCAAAAAATTAGTATCTTAAAATAATGACGAACTATACAAAAATTAACATTAACGAATTATATTAAGGCTTCGATAAGTACACTTTTAAGTAAATGTAAATATACATAAAATGGAGATCCCCAAATTTGAGGTTGGTAGCATTGGAATTGGAGCCAAATTGTAAAAAATGGGGGCAATCCCCAAATTTGGGGTCTTGCATTGGAATTGGAGTTGGTCCAACCCTTATTCGGAGGTATGACAACATATCCCGTTTTGATACCTGCGGTTTCCCACGTGGCGCTCTCCACAGTTCCCCTCTGAGATCGCCCTGCCTGCACTCTCCTCTCTGCAACGGAACCACTCAATCAATCCCGTCGTCCCACTTCTCTTCAATCCCAATCCTTCTTCTGAAATCTAATCCAAAAAATGGAAGCCGCCGGTAACGACAAGAAGCATGTGTACTCCGTGTGGGGTGCCCCGCCAAACGACGTCAGGGATCGGCTCAAGAAGCTCATGGACGGCCTCCGATCGGAATTTGGCGGCCCGGAATTCCAGCCCCACGTCACCGTCGTCGGAGCTATAACCTTGACGGAGCAGGACGCTCTCAGCAAGTTCAATTCGGCTTGCGAAGGGCTCAAGGGTTACCTCGCCACCGTCGATCGCGTCGCCGCGGGGACTTTCTTCTACCAGTGCGTGTATTTGCTCCTCCATCCCACCTCCGAGGTCCGATCTCTGTTTGTGTTAAGTTCACACTGTCCATTGTTCGATTCCCCTTATGATTTGATTGAACTGAAAGAGAATTGGTTTGCAATCGCTTTTCTCCCTCGTCAGGTCGTGGAAGCTAGCTCACACTGCAGTGGACATTTTGGGTATAAGAGTTCCACTCGTAAGTTCAATTCTTCTTTTTCTTCTACCTTTTTCTTTCAAAACCCTAAAAATTGAAATGTACAAGAATCCTTTTTTGCGACAAAGTAGGAAACTTTTGACTTGATTGTGAGCAAACATGGAGCATCTTGTTATAGGATAGGAGTAGATTCTCTTTGTCAAGAGAAAGATTCCAAAATTCTGTTGTGGGAAGGGAATACTCTTGAAAGACTCTGTCGAGAGGGCTTTCCTCTTCTACCTTCAGTTGTGGCTGACGAGTAATCTGGAGAAGCATCCTTTGTCCACCAGCCAGCTTTTTTGGGGAATAAGGGAAAATGGAATGGAGTTTGCTTTAAACGGTAGATTAAATAAAATTGCAACTCACCCTCTTGCCCTCTTCATTGGATATGCAGCGATGTGCATCTGCTGTTGCTGTTCTAAGCAATTAGTATGCTGTCGAGGTTCTTTGATTTTATAGTTAGGGGTTGTTGCTGGCCAATATCGTCGTGATTCACGGACTACATTTTCTGATGAATTCATCGTTTGTCTTATCTGAATTTGGTAAAAAAATCATGCATTTCAGTCCTCCAGTCTCCATTGCACTTCCAAAATGATATCATAGGTGTCGAGAATCGTTCGGTCTTATCGAGGTCACCATTACGATTCTTAGATACCAAACATTGTACTCCATTGTATATGGCTACTAAACAGCCCCATAAATCTCTGATGAATGAAGAAAAAGACATATGTAGCAAAAGCAAACAAAGACTGTGTTAATATTGCCTAGGACTCCCGTTTGTTTTAAGTTTAACTCTTGTGGGCATGGTGTGGTGATATTGCTGCAGCTTATATGCCGCATCTCAGCCTTTTGTACGGCGATCTGACCGATGAAGAGAAGAAGAAGGCTCAAGAGAAAGCCGTTCAACTAGATGACAGCATCAACAGCCTGAGCCTCGAGATCAGCAGCCTGGAGCTATGGAAGACTGATACAGAAGACAACTCTCTCAAATCATGGGAGAAGATCTCAGAGTTCAACCTCTCTCCCAACTAAGACTATATAGGAAGCTGTTGTACATCACTCATCTTTGATTTGGCTTCTAACCAGATCTTCAATAAATTGGGCATTACCTACAGTCCTGTTACGTAACTGTGTGTTCGAAAGAAGCAAAAGATGAAGCCCTGTTGTAATGCATTTGTGAGACGGTGACAGTTCATTTGATGGCAATTGATATAAGAGGAAGGATCCGTTTTTCCTCTTTTAGGCACGATACATTCAGCGGATATTATCGGTGCCATACTAGCAGCACAAATAGAAAAAGTTGGCAGGCTGTGTTTTGATTTGAGCCGGCATGTCACAGAGAATTTAACAACTTGTAAGAGGAGGTGGATATCCCGTGACGGTTTGTGTAATGATCTATCTGTCTATTAAGGGGCAAAAGCTGAAACTGGACGGCTCCGACCTTTTCAAGCTTCTTGTTGTTGTATTCCACCCTAATGGTTTATCTGACAGCTAGATCTGCAGGGAATCTTACTATTATGCATACATACATACAACTCAGGAGGTTTGACATTTAGAACATTGAATCTGCCCACACCCAACCTACAAGTGAAGATACCTCTCCTACCTCTCTGTTCAACAGCATATAAAAAAGAAGAGAAATAGTCAATGGCTGGAATCAAGTGGAGGAAGCAATTATTATTTCCAGAGTACAGACCCAAAAAAGGGCTTTTACCCGTTCAAAGTCTCTACCGATTCATTATGAATTCCACTCTTCTTCTTCATTATTTCCTCCATACGTTAATGCGCAGTATTTTTTTATTTGAATGGCCCTGATCGAAGATTGCCTTCTTCCCACTAGCATTAGGATGGATAGCATCCTCTATTTGGCAACAATCTCTGGTTCTTTGAACTTTTAACTAGGGAAGGAGCATGCAAAGGTCCTATCATCATCATCATCATCATCATCCCGCGATGGTTTTCAAAACGATCCCGAGTAAGAACTAAGAAGTACATTAAGATTGAGAAGATTTTGAATGCATGACCAATATGTATGTGGTCATGGAGATGGAGTCTCATGCAGTGGCGGAGCCAGAAAATTGGCCAAGTGGGTGTCTTTGTCATATCATAAAAACTCACCTATACAATAAAAAAGTCAACTTTAAATTAAACAAAAAGGCAACAACGCAATACTCTAAATTCATACAATTACATTAAAATAGTTTCACGTACACCGGTTACAACGTCAAACAAATAAGTTCAGTACATACAAATCAAGACTTCCATTAATCAAATATTACGAATTAGAACTAAGAAGTACCTTGGAATTGATTTTGTGAAACAAACAAGTGAACTTCAATTGGTACTTCTTCACTTTCAACTTTGTTTAAACAAAAGACAAGAAATTTCTCTGTTGTAGAGCTACAAAAATAAATAAAAAATGAGCGAGTTTAAACAAAAGACAACAATGTATTACTATAAATAAAGACGAAAGTGCATTGCATAACAAAACTCACTCGATTGAAATGATAAGAAATTCTTCCTGCAACTAAATGGTCATTTGTTCGAATTTGTATATACTCCTACTCGGAAAAATTTTCTCCAAACCCAAGGGGGGTGCTTGCACCCCTTCCTCTCCAAGTGGCTCCGCCACTGGTCTCATGGAGAGTGGAGACACTAGATATGGACACGCTAATTCATCTCTTATTTTTCTCGTTCGATTTTTAACAAATAAAATCGTAATTACCTATCTATTTCTTCTCAAATTTTGGAAAACGAGTTTGATAAAAATGTTTCATCTCGAGAATTATGATCTCCACAACTAGAAGCTGAGAAGCTCGAAATTGGACAAGGCAAAATCATGATGCCACATTTTTTATTGGGTTAATAGCTTATTTTGGCCCGATCTATGATCATATAATCAACTTTTACCGGTGGTTTCAGAAATTAACATCCTGGCCTCAACTATGCAGCATATATACTCAATTGGACCGACACATGGTTTGACCGTCAATTTGGACGGTCAACACCGTTAGCCTTCAGTCAACACGCCATGTCATTGCCTCGTCATTCTAAAAATCATTAAAAAAATTTAAATTCAAATTATTTTTCTAATTTCTATTATTTATCATTTTCAAATTAACCAAAAAATTAAATTTTAAAAAATATAAACTATTTTTCAGGCCAATTGAGTCTATATGTTATATAGTTAAGACTAGAATGTTAATTTCTGAAAGCACGGATCAAAATTAATTATATAATCATAATTAAGACCAAAATAAGATATTAACTTTTTTTCACCCTAAAAAGCTCATCAAACCCACACATACCCTACACTACACGCTTCCCGCTCCCCAAAGTTAACGAAAAGTCTCCCTCCCTCCTTCCCGTTCCGATTAGGCAAGGAGATGACGGATATGCCCTCGCCAACGGCTAATCTCAACCCCCGTTGACCGCTCCTCCCTCCGGTCTCCGGCCACGGATTTCTGTTCCACTACGTCAATTTATATTATTATTATTACTAGCTTATAATCCGGCCCGTTGGCCGGAATGTTTATATTTTATTTTTTCTACTTTTTATGTTACGTTAAAGTCTATCAACCTGTTTAATTTTATTGGCAATCTTTCGATCGAGATGATACATAAAGAAATAATATATAGGTCGAACATTCAGAGAAATATCATCATCATTTGAGAAAATAAAACATAAAAATGTATGATTGATCTCATTTTCATAATGATAATTAAGCCCAGTTAATATGTTATTGGTTAGTTGATTGTTAAGAAAGATAGAGTATAAAAGCTCACTAGAATTCCCACACGACCCATAGATAGTTTGAAACTGAATCTAAAACCTCACAATCCTACGTAAATGGTTCAATTCTCTCATTTTGGGGGCAATATGCCACTAATAAAAAAGATATGGATAGTTGTAGGTTCAAGTCAACTATATACTAACAACTCGGCTAAGAGTGGACCATCAAAACTTGAGAGCAAACGATCAAAGTAAATTGGGTTACCTCCAATATACTAATAGACTCGATCAAAGTAATATGACGCAAAATTAGACAGTCCTTATCTATCAGTTCCATTAGGTTGAATAAAGAATCAACCTACTTCATTAAATCAATCAATGATTACTCGTTTTAAGATAGAAATAGGTTGTGGTAGCTGCAAAAACTATAAACCTAATGATCCAATAGCGACCACTCTCCATTGAACGACCAAATTTTTATCTACTCTATCTTCAATCTCAAGAAGCATATGTTTCAACCAAACATTCACTTTCTAATCCTCCTTCTGCAACTCCATTTCTGCTACTTTGATGGACCTTCTCTCTGCGACCCTCAATTTCTCTTCCAATTAGGGTTTTTGTCAACTCGCTCTTCAACTCCTCAATCCTCTTCCTGTGTTTTGCCAACTCATCTTCCTCAAGGCCAGTTATAATAAGTTCGCTAAAACCAAAACTCATCTCCAATTCCATCAATATGCTCATCTCCCCCCTTGTATGCTTTCACATGCTTCAGTACACTTCCATGTCCTTCAATACCCTCTCCATTTTTATTAATATCCTCATCATCTCTCACTTCTCTCTCTTTAACTGCTCCAGTTTTGCTTTCGCGTCTTTCAACACCCTCCTCAATTCGATCACAACCCTCGGTAACTCCCTCTTCTCTGCCTTAACATGCTACAATTGAATTTTTCTTCCCCCCCCCCCCCCCCACTCTCTTATTCAAACTCAATCCTAACTCTTCTACTCCAAGTTCAACACCTCAAACTCCTAGAGTGTTGCATGAAAGCTCAATTTCTAAATAATTCTAAAACAATATCAAAATTTGATTAGTGAGATAAGAATAAAAATTAATGAGGAAAATTATGGTTGCGGAGAACATTAGTTATCACAAAATCAAATATGAGCGGAGATATTGTAATTGAAAAGAAACCTTTTTTCTCATTTTGATCTTATTTTATTATTTCAATAGCTAAGCAAAGAACAAAAATAAAGTACAGGAAACGCACAACAAAGTGGACAGGGCTCTAGCAAAGTACAACTGCCATGTTCTACACAAACATCTCTTTTGCTTACAAACAAATATAGTACCCAAACCATCGTTCAAATTCATTTTCTATATTTAATAAATCATTCATAAACAAAAAACTTAGATAAACCGGGAAGGAAATAATAGCCTGCCAGTTCAATTCGATGAACCTAATATGAAGATAGAAACACATTGAAGTTGAAACCTAATAACAGAAAGAGGAGAAATCACGCAGGAGATCCACCGAGCTTTAAGCATCGTTTCAGGCAATAAGATCAAAATAAATAGATATTATGCATGTTGTGCTCATGAGACAACATGAAAATAAAAGTCGCTTTGTTATTAATCAGAAAGATAAAACCATGAGACATAGAGAAGAAATGAATAACTTACATGTGTAAAGCGATTAACCTTGATCGGAAATCGAAAACCTATTAAAGGTCAATGTCTGGTATAGGAAGAGGAGTAAAGGCGAAAGGTATAACTGATCAAACATTGCCTTCATCAATAGAAGCAGCAAAATAGTTCTTCTGATAGTACATCGGGGAGAGACAGAACCATTGGGTGATGCCAGTGCAGAGGAATCGAGCGAGATAATCAGGGCCATGCCATAACTACTTGATTGAACTCCATTCTATTGGCCATGGATTGATATGAGAGTTGAAATCTTCTACTTGTCCAGCTTAAATCCCCAAGAATAAAACTGCAGTGCCAAAAGATACCGGAATGTTGATTTTCAAATGCTCCTTATACTGGGAAGTGAAAGCACGCAAACTATTGCACGATGGAGGGAATTTCGGAGAAAATTAGAAAGAGATAAGAACAAAGATAAAAAAGGCACAAAATTTAAATTTATATTGAAAAATGCAAGGACACAACACATAGTAAAGGAAATAGTTTCTTCCATGTTAGCCAATTACCAATTTACCTTTAGCGAAAATAAAAGAGAGAGCATGAATTCTAAAATTGATAAAATTAAATGAAACTGTACTATAAAAATTGAAGTATTAAGCACCATGAAAATACATATAGTAGACTTAGTGCACTTGTTAATCATGATGGAAAAGTTCTCTGCTTTTCACAGTTTAAATACATGTATGTTTTGTATTACAAAAGGAACAACAAATACATTTAGTATAATTGGTTATGATTGCTATCTTTCTCCGAAGAGACCTGGGTTCGAGTTTTGATATTGATATTTTTTATGACATAAATAATTAATTATAAAGACAAAAATATCCTTCCTACTTTCACTCTCATTGCAGGAAATTTGAAATGGAGAAAAGTTTACAAAACTCTACTATATATTAATGGAGGATTATTCAAGTTTGTTAAACCCCTATCGAACCCCCCGGTTGGACCCGGTTCAACCCGAGTCGGGCTTCAAAACGGCCTCCAGAAAACCCCCCGGTCTGACCCCTAAACAGGGAGAAGAAGAGAGGCAGAAGAGAGGAAAAGGAACGAAGGAAGGGAAATGGTAGGTGGATCATGGAGGTTAGGTAGATTTATTTGGTTGAAAATAAGTTTTTAATAGATATATGTAAGATAAATTTTATTTCACTCATTAAATTTTTAATTACTACTTTATTTGTATATATATTTAGAAAACGTCTAAAACGGCTCAAACCGGCCGGACCCCGATCAGACCATTAAACCTCAAACCCCTTGCTTGACCGGCTCAATGACTTAAACCGGTTTGACAACCTTGGGATTATTATTGGCTTAATTGCAAGTTTGGTCATTCGAATTACTACAAAATTTCACGTTTGCCACTCAAATTAATTTATTCCATTTATAGTCACTTAAATTAGGTTAACAGTCCAAGTTTGGTCACTGGCCGTTAGTCTCCGTTAACTTTTGCTGATGTGGCGGTCAACTCTTATAGTTGACCGTTAAATGAGTGACGTGGCGATTAACAATTTAATAAAATAATTTAATTTAATTATTTTTTATTTTCCACCTAATTATTATAAAAATAAAAATAAAACCTAATTCCTTTTAATTGTTATTTTCCACCGCCCGTAGCTTTCTTTCCTGAATTCCCAAATCCCTTTCAAACCCTAAACCCTTCGAAACCCAAAATTTCCTCGCCGCAATTGGCGAAAATGGCTTCCATCTCCTCAAAGTTCCCGGCCAAATCCCTAACCAAGTTGTTGACTTTCAGTCCGAAGAGCGGCATCTCTCTCTCCCTATCAGCCGCCCACTGCCGCAGCGCCTTCAGAGACCCGAACCCAGAAGCTGGAACGCATCGCCGACGATCTACTCGACCTCACGAAGCTCGAGCGCCACGACTACGCTGTCCAGCGAAGGCGATAAAAGGGAAGAGGAGATTGCCGATGAAACTGAAGAGTCCGTTACCGGAATCACCCTTGGGGACGGAAATATCGACGCCGTTCATCGCTAAGATGTCGATTAGGTCAGGATCGGCTGGGACGGTGACGGCGGCCCGCCGGCCGTCGACTGCGGTCAGCTGGAGGGTGGACCCGTCTTTGCTGAACCGAACCCGCTCCACTTTCCTCTTCTTCACCGCGTTCAGAAACTCGCTGTATCGCCATTGGGTTCCCTCGGGAAGGTCGGAGGCGACGGGTTGGCCGGCCGGGAGAGGTCGTCGACCTGAGGGGAGAGGAATGGCTACGGGCGGTGGAAAATAACAATTAAAAGGAATTAGGTTTTATTTTTATTTTTATAATAATTAGGTGGAAAATAAAAAATAATTAAATTATTTTATTTTATTAATTTTTTAATCGCCACGTCACTCATTTAACGGTTAACTATAAGAGTTGACCGCCACATCAGCAAAAGTTAACGGAGACTAACGGCCAGTGACCAAACTTGAACTGTTAACCTAATTTAAGTGACTATAAGTGGAATAAATTAATTTGAGTGGCAAACGTGAAATTTTGTAGCAATTCGAGTGACCAAACTTGCAATTAAGCCGATTATTATTAGAGACAAAAGTCGTTACCGGGAAACTTTGCCGTGTCGGTCTCCTACCCTCCACCTGAGAGCGACGTCGTTCCGGCCGGCGGTCCCCCTCTCTTTCTTCCCACCTAACTGTCTGCCTTTCCACTTGCAGTTATTCGCTCTCCTTCTCTACTGTTCCCGCGTTCATAAAAAAAGAAAAAAACATAAAATTTCCAGCTTGCTTTCATCCACGCTCCAGCTCACCTTTCCTCCAGACGCGTGTGCCACACATCCTCTCCACGCATTCTTGGCGTCTTATTATACTTGTCAACGTTTCCGGTTTCCCTGCCCACTGAAATGGATAGATAGACGTTGAGAATCAAATTGCCCCTTAATTCCCTCGCCCAGATTTCTCTCCCCGTCTTATTAGCCTTAAATCTCTTTGCCCCCACCGTCCTCAATTACTTCGTTTAGGGTTTTGGGTTGATCGACTCCGAGTTCGTTTATTGTGGCAATAAAGCAACTGCTCGGGTTCTTACGGCTCCTTAATTTGGGTTTTTTTGAAGCTAATCAGCTACCTCCAGCTGCCGCCGTCAACATCCGTCGTTGGTGGAACTTGGGAATCAAGAAAAGAAGCCAGCACTCGCTCTTTATCCTTGGGGGCCAATTCCGGTACTGGGTTCGGATAGGCCAAGAAAAAGAAAGAGGGGAAAGTTGGAAAATTCGCTGGTGAAATCCGGTGCGGAGAACTCGAGTGTGAAAGCTTTTTCCCAAGAGGGGGAATATTTAGGGCCCAGGTGGGGTCATTCACATTGTAGTAGAAGAGGGGTTTTGTATCTTTGTTCAACGTTCAAGTAAATTTGGTGTTTTTTCGGATGGAACTGAAGAATCCGGTGAGGTTTACTCTCGGAAAGCAGTCGTCTTTAGCACCGGACCGTGAAAGGGATGGTTCCGGTGGGTTCGAGGAAGCCATGGAGGGCATTGATCCAGGTGTTCGCTTAATGTACGCAGCTAATGAAGGGAATCTTGATGGTATCCAGGAGCTCCTGGATTCCGGCGTTGATGTCAATTTCCGGGATATTGATGACCGGACGGCGCTTCATATCGCCTCCTGCCAAGGTTTGACTGACGTGGCTTCGCTCTTGCTCGACAAAGGGGCCGCAGTTGACCCCAAAGACAGATGGGGAAGCACGGTAATCAAAATGGGTTTGCGCTTTTAAAGCTCGTTTTTCTTACTTCTTGGATGAAATGGAATCTCTGTTGCTACTTGCTCGAATTGGTTGCAGCTTTAATTAGATGTGACAATACAATCTTATGTTGCTGGAACAGCCCCTTGCAGATGCCATATATTACAAAAACAACGACGTTATTAAGCTCTTGGAGAAGCGCGGTGCCAAGCCTCTGGTATGTTTGGCTTTCTGTGTGTTTCTCAAATGGGAAACAGTGTTGTGTGAATTGGTCGATATGATGAGTATTTTTCTTATGCAATATGGGTTTCTTTCGTCTAGATGGCCCCAATGCACGTCAATCATGCTCGTGAAGTCCCGGAGTATGAGATCAATCCTACTGAGCTTGATCTCACTAATAGTGTGCAGATAACTAAGGTAATTGTTTATTGTTTTCTGAAACTTGAAAGAGTTGTTGCCATCTGTCATCTGTGATTCCTTTTTGGAGTTCACATTTCCTGGCTACTTATACTGCTGTTTGAACATTTAGCTTAGCTTGGGTTTTCACATATGACAACCTCACCTGGTTCCTAGGTTTGTGAGTTGCATCTTGTTCCTATATCAGAGCTCAAAACTGTGGGTTGTAGTTGGTTACGGATATAATAAGTTGGTGATACCCGAAGGACGGTCAGAGGCTTGTACATTGGTAAAGAGAGAAAAGGGGAAAGAGAATGGACGGCCATTTGAGAGTAGCTTATAATAATTTGGTTTTGTGTGTTGCATTGAACCAACAATTTGTGAGGGTCGATATGAGCCATCTCTCCAGAGCCGTGTTATTATTGTCTATGACCTCCTGAAAGTTAAGGCATGCCAGAGTAAACAACCTTATAGAGGAACTGTAAACTTTGCAACATAGAGGTTTGATTAAATGATAATTTGGGCATTGTCCAGGGAACTTTTCGGTTAGCATCATGGCGTGGGATACAAGTTGCTGTTAAAATGCTCGGGGAGGAAGTACTCTCGGATGAGGATAAAGTGTGAGTGATCATGAACTACCACATATTACTTCTCCTCATTTAGTATTTGAAGTTTTCATCCTTTTTAAAAAGCAATATGATTTTTACAGAAGGGCATTCAGAGATGAGCTAGATCTGCTTCAGAAGCTAAGACACCCTAATGTGGTTCAATTTTTGGGTGCTGTTACTCAAAGTAGCCCGATGATGATTGTGACAGAATATTTACCGAAGGTTTGTCTTCCATTCCTTGAGTCACTGCTGCAGTGTAGTGCCACCCTCTATATGGTACCATAGGATAATAGAACTCATCCAGTTTTGAACGTTTAGTTGTGTTCATATGAATGTTACTTTCTTTCCCAATGATGTTGTTAACTCTCATTTCTCAATTTTGCTTTTGAAGTTTCTCTCAGAGATTACTTTGGTCTCCATAATGTCGCTTTTTTGGTAGTCGATGTCCTTAGTGCGTTCTTGATGTCAGAGATGAACTTTTTCCTTTGTATGTGCAACTGAAGTGCATATTCACAGAGGATCTTAGTTATCAACTGTCTATTTGCAATATCAGCCTCTCTTTTTGTGGAATGATCATTGATTATTCTTGACCATGAACGAAGATATTTGCAATGGCAATTTTTTCCAATCAGCCAGGATTCAGTTTCTCTTAATTGGGGTATTTGCTATACTTTTTCATGATGCGGTACCTTGGACTCGTCCATGACTCTATGAGAAGTTATCCAGTGAAGTTTGCTTTTGATCACTGTTCATTTGTTTATTAATATTTCAGGGAGATCTTCGTGAGTACCTTAAGCGAAAAGGTCCACTAAAACCAGCAAAAGCTGTGAGATTTGCTCTTGATATTGCAAGGTTAGTTGCTAAGTTTCATCATGATTCAATACATGATTGATAGCAATCACTATTGTCCAATATAGACTTCAAAGCTTTTTTTTTTTTTTTTTTTTTTTTTTTTTTCCATTTGCTAGTGGAAATATGGTTTCAATGTATGTAATATTGACATATATCTATTTATCGCGTAGGGGTATGAATTATCTACACGAGACCAGACCAGAACCAATAATTCACCGTGACCTTGAGCCTTCGTGAGTTTCTTCATTTTGGATTTCTATGTGTCTTTAACATGTTTGATGTGGATATACTGATACATCAGTTTAATCTTGTGTAAAATTCATTAGCTTCCTCAATTTTCTGAATCTGCCAGCATCTTTTTCATTTTGCTCATGAGCAAGATAACAGAAATATATTGCGGGATGACTCAGGACATCTCAAAGTTGCAGACTTTGGTGTTAGCAAGTTGCTAACAGTGAAAGAAAAGAAGCCTCTAACTTGCCAGGATACTTCTTGTAAGTGCCTGCCTAATGTTGCTACATCTGCTGGCTTAAGATAGGAGTAGCAATATTCAGTCCCTTTCACTGAACATTCTTGATTTTTAGCCACTGTAATAAAAGGATGTATATTTCATTGACAGGTCGTTATATGGCCCCAGAGGTTTTCAGAAATGAAGAATATGGTACCAAAGTGGATGTCTTTTCGTTTGCATTAATACTACAAGAGGCAAGTACTTGTGATTATTTGATGTTAGGACTTGTGCCTTTACTTCTTTGAGGAACTCTGCTTAGATATGTTGAATATAATGTGCATCTGATTCCTTTACTTCAACTAAGTACCTCTTGATAACAATGTTTGCTGTATGTTACAGATGATTGAAGGCTACCCTCCATTTTCTAACAAGGAAGATCCTGATGTTCTTAAAGCCTATGCTGGAACTGAGCGTCCTCCTTTTAAGGCTCCACCAAAGTATTATGCGCATGGGATTAAAGAGTATGTTTCAATGTGATTCAGATTGTCTATTTTACTTGAGATAATGTGATCCAAAATCTGCAGCATGATTCAGAGGCCTCCGATCTTGTATGATCATCTTTGGAAGATTTTCTTGTTTCTTTGTGCTTACACGAATTGGGAATTGGGGATTCTATTATTATATGTAGTAAATAGAGCACGGCAGAGTAGCTGCAGACCCTGGTTCTTCTAACCGAATTAATGAACCTTCAAAAGTAATATAATATACAAGGGACCTGCCACATATTTATCCTGATTAAATAGGAGTCTATTTTATAGGAGACTTAATGTTGTCTTCTGGCCTACAGGTTGATCGAGGAGTGTTGGCATGAAAATCCAGCTAAACGGCCAACTTTCAGGCAAATACTGACAAGACTGGACTCTATTTACAATAGAATTGGGTACAAGAGGGGTTGGAAGGTCAGTCTCTCTCTCTCTCTCTCTCTCACAAGTCAACATAAATTTTTTCTGGGTTTTACCATGCTTTGCTTGCTTATGTGTTTTGGGTGACGCATATACTAGTAGCAATTCGGTGAAGAGAATTGGTAATACCTTATGCTGTTTGTGTCTATTGCTGAATACCAAATTTGCATAATCTTTAGAGATGCTCACCTTCTACACGGGAGATGCTAATCCCCAAACATAATTCATCTTATTAATGAGTCCGCCCTGCAATGTCATTAAAATATAATAATTATTTCTGGCTAATGATGGGTGTCTTACATGAAAGTAAAAGAGATACTGAGAAGTAGGCGTATACTGATCGTGCTTCTATTGTGAGCTTTGGTAAAGAGAGATTGTTCAGCCACTTTTGCCCTAATAGACAGAACTGCAGGAGGACTAATACATTCTCTCCCCTACGACACCTGTACAGGATAGACCGTTAAAATGTTTCCCGAATTTGGAAGCCTTCTTGAAGAAAGACCAAAGTCTAAGTGGGCGCGATGGATCTTCACGCTCAGCCAGCCGTGTGTGAATAGAAACGTTGTTCTAGGGCTTGCATTTCACGGTTGCAGACTCCAATTTTTTCTTTTGTGGTCAAAGTTTCCCTCTTTATTCTTTTAGAGTAGATCATTCTCTGGTTTCCTTTTGTGTAATTCCTATTGATACATTATCAGCCAGTAGACACATTACTTCTCGAGTTCTCTCTTCATTTTACATGATCTATGGAATAAGAGTCCTACGTTCCTGAGTTTGATATCTCTTGTTATCTTTTGCACCCTTACCCTACTCATGTTTGCTTGGTTGATAATACACATGAGATGATTTGATTACAGATGTGGGGTTGCTGCTAATAGCTCTACTTGCAAAAGGTCAGGAAATGATGATGATGATCTACCTACAGGGATTAGCCTGGTGTTCCTGGAGATCAGCCTTTCCCTACTGTATGAATGTCGATATGCCCTTTTCTGTAATTGTTTGGTTGGATTTCATATCCTTGAGGGTTATACATACATCATTTAGGGAAAGAATGCATGTGTGATGTTGGCCCATGTGAAAAAGAGGATACAAAAGTTGTCATTTATATCTAAATAAGAGAAAGTGTTCATGTGGTGGCCTTGAAGCTGCAGGATGGGAGGAAAAAGATAGAAACACTAGAGCTCGTATAACTTTCTATGGGGAAAGTGACAATTCACCATGTTATGAATTTCATATGAGACTGACTGACAACCCCACTCGGCACTCACCATAATCGTGTAGTAATTTTTGTTGTTGTTTGCCAATGGTATTGTGAAGAATGCAGATGTGAATAGATTTAGCATTATTGTGATGTGGGTTAGACATGGCTGCTGTTGATGATGAGTTCTTCCTTTTTTTCGTTTCTTCAACTTTTGTCCAGATCTCAAAGAAGATGGTGACTATTCCCAGTTCCATTGTAGTGGGGGCAATAGTTTGAAGAATGATACGCCCCTGGAGGGTGTATGTTATCAAAGTAACGCAGCTAACAACTCAATCGAAGAATCGATTGAGCTCGAATCAAGAACAAAGCGTTCTTAATACGATCTTGGATAAAATGGAACCAAAAGGACGATTCCACACCTGGGGAACGCTCGATTGGTATAAATGGTAGATGCCCGACCACGATTGAAGTGACTATTCAATCGATACAAGAGCTCACGAGTTTGGAATCCACCAAACTCAACACAAGTCGCAACTTGCACAAAACCAAAGGTTTGTTTTTTTCGATTAATCAAAGTCTTAATTTTACAACCAAATAGAACGGTATTTAAAGGAAAATAAAACCAAATACAATCATAGTATAACTAGGAAACAATTAAGGTAAAATTCTACACTATAAAGGACACAAAATTCGGGTTTAAACTCCCTTTCTTCAAGCGCAAGTAAGCTGCCAGCAACAGTCCAAAAGCAGCTTTCGTACTAACTTCGCGCCTTTCGTTCGAGGCCTTCCCGAACTCCAATTCTTCAACCAATTCCTTCCCTCTGTTCACAAACATACCTAGTTTCACGTTGTAGAAGCCTTTGGACTTGAATAAGATCCATACTCCTCGAATTAAGCTCCAAAGTAGGCTTCACAAAACAGTTTCCAGACTTAACCATTTTCTGGCAGTTTTCCAGTTTTGAGGTAGCAACTTTGAGGCCTTGAAAAACAACCTTAATGACATCATCTGGATTCACAAAGCATACCATTGGAAAGGTGGCAACTTTATCTGAAAAACAAACTCTTAAAATGGAATTTCCACCAAGTCAATTGAGAGAACCATGCCTCCAAAGTATGTACCCTGAACACGGATTTTGACTTAGCCAAATTCTGCCATTCTTCTTTCCAACCTTGATAGCTTCTTTGGCAAGTAATTGTGACACGTAGAAGTGGCCAATTTGGATCATATCAGGCTACCCCTCTTCAAAAAGCTTTGCCCTCAAAGCTTGACCTTTCCCTTTGTCAAAGAAATCACAGAATCGATCCCAAATTGGATCGAAAGATGGCTGCTCAAACATCCTTTTCTGCAGAATTTCAACAACTTCAACTTCAACTACGATCTGTTTTATGGACTTTGAAGCTTGCAGTGTTGTTGGTAAATCTTCCTGGACTCTAACAGAACCTTCCTCGACGATTAATTTCACCTGAACGCGATCGAAAAATTTTCCAGGTTGTCGGACTTCTTCTGCGTACCTGTTCTTGCTCGAATGAATTGGGGGTTTTCGTTTCGACGATTTCCAGTCCAATTGAACCACTCCACGCTCTTCGCCAGGCTTCCAATTGAAGCTTTGAACCATTCCCCAGTCTCGATTCATCACCATTGTCGACGAATCGTCAAATTTGCCTTTCCCGCCGTTGGCCGTTTTCAAATTCTGGAAACCCAAAATTTTCAATTGAAAATTGGGCGTTTGTTGTTCGATCCTCTTCGCGTCGAATTGATGGATGCTACACGTTCCTTGGACCTCCATGAATGGGTTTGACGGGTTAAATTTTCTCCAATCGAGCTGGTTTGCTCTACCCAATAGAGGGGCCTTGTCGGCTGTGTTCTTCACGAACAGAGGTGGCTTTGCGCGAATCAGATCTTCAATTCCAGGTATGATCAATTCCAATTGGTTCACTTTTGACGATTCTGGGGTCTGAAAGAATGATTCTGAATCATGGCCATAATTCGACTCGTCCCCAGTTGGCCTGCCCACGAGAGCGCTGTCTTCGTTCTGTTTCCTGGGTACGAAACAGGGAAATCGAGCTAGATGTTGATCTTTCACGTTCGTCGTATTCGAGTCGATCCAGAATATGGGTAAGATTCCTCGGTTCGTTTTGAAGGTCTCGACGGCGGTGGGTAAGTTCGAATCATGTCTGGTGGCTCTACCAACGAGAGCTCTGTTCGTACTCTGTTCTGTGAAGGCTGAACAAGCTTGTGCAGTCCTCGTCAATGGCTCGATTCGAGCATCTTCAGGGATCTCTGACACTTCTGATTCATCATTCGTCCTTCCTTTACCATCGAGGAAGACGTCTGCCATCGCCTCCTTGATCAAATTTGCCCGTACCTCGTCGGATTTGTATACAGAATGCGGACTCTGTTTTACCGGCGAAGAGCAGAGACGACCAGCTCCTACCTGCGTTTTGGCTGGATTGCTTCTCCACGTCGACGTTTTCTTCAACAGAGCCTGCTGATACTCCTTCTGGATACGGTTAAGCTCGCTCAAATCGTCGGCTGCTGCTTCCGGAGTCAAAGGGTTCACGACGAACACCTTGTTTCGACTCCGAATTCGAAACTTCTTGCTCCGCCGACTTGCAAAACAAACTTGACGAGCTCTAAACCATGGTTGTCCAAGAACTATGCTGCTGGGAAGATTGTAAACCACGTCGCACATGATTTGATCCTTGTACTGGCCAATCGAAAATTCCACGACCACCTGAGACACTACGGTGCTGGATTTGGTTTCGTACGGTGATTGGAAGATGTAGGGAGCTGGATGAGGCTGTGATTGTAATCCCAGCTTGCTCACGACCCTGCAGGCAATTAAGTTCTTATCCCTGCCTCCATCAATGAGCACCAAACCCAATTGATCATCGATTAATCCGCGTGTGAAGACCATCGATTCTGCTAACTCTTTTGCCGAAATTTCCATCTTGTTTGACGCGCAGAAAACAGAGTCGTCAAGAACAAACCGCCACTGATTTGAACGGGGCTTTGATACCACTTGATACGCCCCTGGAGGGTGTATGTTATCAAAGTAACGCAGCTAACGACTCAATCGAAGAATCGATTGAGCTCGAATCAAGAACAAATCGTTCTTAATACGATCTTGGATAAAATGGAACCAAAAGGACGATTCCACACCTGGGGAACACTCGATTGGTATAAATGGTAGATGCCCGACCACGATTGAAGTGACTATTCAATCGATACAAGAGCTCACGAGTTTGGAATCCACCAAACTCAACACAAGTCGCAACTTGCACAAAACCAAAGGTTTGTTTTTTCCGATTAATCAAAGTCTTAATTTTACAACCAAATAGAACGGTATTTAAAGGAAAATAAAACCAAATACAATCATAGTATAACTAGGAAACAATTAAGGTAAAATTCTACACTAAAAAGGACACAAAATTCGGGTTTAAACTCCCTTTCTTCAAGCGCAAGTAAGCTGCCAACAACAGTCCAAAAGCAGCTTTCGTACTAACTTCGCGCCTTTCTTTCGAGGCCTTCCCGAACTCCAATTCTTCAACCAATTCCTTCCCTCTGTTCACAAACATACCTAGTTTCACGTTGTGGAAGCCTTTGGACTTGAATAAGATCCATACTCCTCGAATTAAGCTCCAAAGTAGGCTTCACAAAACAGTTTCCAGACAACCATTTTCTGGCAGTTTTCCAGTTTTGAGGTAGCAACTTTGAGGCCTTGAAAAACAACCTTAATGACATCATCTGGATTCACAAAGCATACCATTGGAAAGGTGGCAACTTTATCTGCAAAACAAACTCTTAAAATGGAATTTCCACCAAGCCAATTGAGAGAACCATGCCTCCAAAGTATGTACCCTGAACACGGATTTTGACTTAGCCAAATTCTGCCATTCTTCTTTCCAACCTTGATAGCTTCTTTGGCAAGTAATTGTGACACGTAGAAGTGGCCAATTTGGATCATATCAAAGAAGAGAAATGAAGAATAGGCGGTGTTGCACCTAATTTACAATTCATAAAACAATAGGATTGGATTATTTTAACATTTAGTGATGATGGTTTTCGACCTAACTCGTGCGACTTGACCTGTCCAACACGTTGAGTTAGTTATTGCCGCCATCTGTAGTAGCATGAGACATGACATATGTACTTTTTTAGCCTAGTCTAGTCTTGTCCGGTTTTGTTACTTTGTATAATCTTAATTTGCATCAATATATAATTGTATTTTTCAATTTTAAGTTTTTCATTCAAATAATATAATCCCCCCCCCCCCCCCCTCCGCGTAATCTAGCGATTTTATTAAAGCAGGATCCTCAAAAACTCAAGAGCATAGCTCTATTGTTCCGAGTACAAACATTACCAGAACTACAATCAAGATCCTATCTTGAATACAGTAAACAACTCAAGTGTGGTATCTTCTTTACTTCTAACTGAAATTCCAGGTTCCCCCCTGCAAAATAGTTAAAGTCAGTTCTCCATTGCCCTAGAAGAGCATTTGTATCTCGCTGCCTCCCCTGAAAAATACGAGTGCATCTCTCCTTCCATACAACACAAATACACCAGCACCAAATAGCACTCCAAACCAGTCCTCGACTTCCTTCCTTGTTGCTTCTTCTGTGTATCCAGCTAATGAGTGCCTCCCAAGAATTTGGCCACTGATTGAAGCCAAAAACTGCTGCAAAATTTTTAAGAGAGTAAGAGCATTTGCAGAAAAGATGGGCTCTAGATTCTTCCTCAGCCTGGCATAACACACATAGCGAGTCAGTAGTCTTCCCCCATTGTTTAGCTTGTCTTTCGTGGTGATCCTATTCAACTTGATTAACCAGACAATAACTCGGTTTCTCAAAATTGTTCCATATAATCTTCCACCAATCCACTTTTTGATCGGATTGACAGCCATACTTGTTGCACGGAGAATTAACTGAAACCTGAACTGGAACCATCCTCTAGAGTTGAGTAACTTTCGCCATATCCATGAACCGGACTGAGAGAGAGGGATTAAAATAATATTTTGAATAAGTACAATACTATAATTTTCAACTAGTTAGATTCATATTCAATTTCTTATTTTGTTTCTGGTTCATTAAGTTTTTATTTTTGCCATAGATATTCCTGAAGGGAAGTAGCATAGATACGATACTATTTAAGGGCTAATAAGCTCAGAACTAGAAAACATAAATAAGAAAAACACGACGGTTAATAAGTGTCTGAAGTCTGAACCATTGTCCAAAGGCTTGTAAAAGAACTTTTTTTTTGTTTTTCATGTACAAATAGCATATTATGATGGGTTGATCTGCCCTACTTTGTGACCGCGTGAGTAGGACCGGCCCTCCGGCACATGGCCTCCAAATTTTGGGGACTCCGGACATTCATAATGTAAGTGACGTGGAAATTAAAAATTAAGTAATATATAAATTTAAATTTTTATATTTTCACCTCATTTTAATATAAAAAATGAATTTTCAATAATTTCCAAGTCAATTCTTTTCGTAGTTCGTACAGTAGGTCTCGAGCGGGTCAGATACCTTCTGCTTGTCTCGGGCGTGGCTGGCAGCGACGCTCAACTTCTCCACCTCACTCCCCGCTAGCCATATCCTCCGCGAAGCCCCCTATGCTATCTTCCACCTTGCTCTAGATCTGATGCGACGCCGCCATCATCGGTCGGCATCCTCCACGTTTGTTTGAGAAACTAGAGACCGGGAAGAAACAATTGACGAAAATAACAACTTCTTTCCTCCAAATAATTAATGGAAAATTAGAAATTTTGACCGTGTTTACTCCACTGGGACTGGGTAGAAGATCTCCAGGTGAGAGAATATTAGGAATGGCCTGGGTTCCGCTAACACCAGATGTGCAATTGAAACCCTAACTTAACTTTCTCATTAATGATTGTGTTCCTTATATACAAGGATCGATCAATAGAAGACAAACAACTCTTGGTTGTGTTTACAGACTGTGAAAAACAGAGGATGCAGAGTTTGGAGGGAACAGAAAACAAAAGGGTGAAAGAGACGTTGGAGTGCTACGACGACGTTCTGCTGAGGATGTTCTCTATTATGCGAGACGGCGCCGTTGCAATTGAGGAACACGAGGCCTTTCTCGAGATGACGTCGCTCCACCGAAATGGCTTAGTAGCCGTTGCGATTTGGGGCGAAAATTTGACATTTTCGTCTGATACCCCCCCGCAAGCTGGTGGGCACAAATTGTGCACACCAAGCTTGGAGAGGAGACTAAAGAAGATTGCTGGTGGGAGCGGCTTTGTGAACAGATCTGCAAGTTGGTGAAGGCTTGAAACATGGAGGAGCTTGACAATCCCATTATGCAATTTCTCTCTGACAAGGTGACAGTCTAACTCGATGTGCTTGGTTCTTTCGTGGAATGTTGGGTTTTCAGCGATGTGGATCGCGGACTTATTGTCACAATAAATGATTGCAGGTTGAGAATGGGGCACCTGGAAGTCTTGGAGAAGGTATAGAAGCCATTGGAGCTCACATGTTGTATCAGCCATGGCTCTATATTCTGCCTCACATGAGGATCTTGAGATGGTTCGCTGTTTCTTACTTTTCCAGGAGATGAGTGCATTGCCCAGGTAAACACAATATCCAGTTACTGACCTTCTAGTGTCCATACAAGATGCCCAGTCTGAGTCACTGAATGATTTGAGTGGGAGTGAAGAAGAAGTAGGGAAGAATAAACCAGTAGAGGGTGCTGATTTGAGGTATCGAAGAACCCTTGTGACTGCTTGATAGTGTTGATTGCTAGGATTGGACATATATTGGCTGAGCTCTTGAGTGGCAAAGCTAATGTCTGGTCTTGTTGTGGTTAAGTATATGAGCTTGCCAACAAGCCTTCTGTAGAAAGAGGGATCAGGGTATGCATATGAATGTGTTGCTGTGAGGTGGACTTTGTGGTCCATAGGGGTAGAAACAGGTCTGGATAGGAGTACCTCCCCTTCTTCTAGGATTTACAGAGTATATTTCCTTTGAGATAGATGAATGCCAGATGAATTTCTGGCAACTTCAATGCCAAGAAAGAACTTAAGAGGACCTAGATCTTTAATGCTGAATGTCTGATGAAGGTGTTGCTTCAGCTTTGTGATTTCAGCTAGATCAGTACCTCCCACAACCAGATCATCTACATAGACTAGAACACATGTGTAATCAGAGCCTTGAGATTTGAAAAATAGGGAATGATCAACCTGGCTAGAGGTATAACCCTGAGTAATGAGGCAGTCAGCCAATTTGGAGAAGCACTGTCTTGAAGCTTGTTTCAGACCATATAGGGACTTTTTGAGTCTAGAAACAGGATTCTTGATATGAGGTGGGGGTTTGTATCCTTTAGGCAGTTTCATATAGACTTCTTTAGTGAGATCCCCAAGTAAGAAAGCATTGTTGACATCTAATTGATGTACATGCCATGACCTTGATGCTGCTATAGCCAGAAACAATCTAACTGTGGTCATCTTAACCACATGGGCAAATGTATCCTGATAGTCAATGCCCTCTTGTTGGTTGAGTCTTTCGCAACTAATCTTGCCTTTTCTCTTTCCAGGCTGCCATCAGAGAGGAACTTGTACTTGAAGATCCACTTATTGCCAAGTGGTTTCCTGTTTGGAGGTAAAGAAACAACATCCTAGGTCTGATTCATTTCAAGAGCATCAATTTCATGATTGATTGCTCGGTTCCATTCTGGTCTGAGGGAAGCTTCCTCATATGATTCAGGTTCTTTGTGACTAGAGATGTTCAAGATGAATTTGAGATGGGATGGTGATAAACCAGTGTAATCAATGACATCAGATAAGGGATAGGTGATACCTGGAGCATGTTGCTTGAGAGAGTGACTGGAGGAAGAAGCCTGCTGAAGTAGGTTGCAATGGTAAGTCTGGAGTTTGGTTGGTGGTTTGATGGTTCTGGTTGGTTTTCTAATGGCTATAGGTAGATCTATGGAAGGTGGGGTACAAGAAGGAGGTGGTGAGGAAGTTGGAGATTGTTCTGGTTCACGTAAAGGTGGGGAATGGGGATGTTCATATGGGATAGGGGCAGGTGGAATGGGGTAGGTATGATTGGGGGGAGAGGAAACAGTCTCTGAAGAATCAGTTGTGGTTTGGTGAAAAGCGAATACATGTTCATAGAATTGAACATCTCTAGACAGAAAGATGTCATGAGAGTTCAAATCATAGATTTTGTAACCCTTTACACCAGGGGTGTAGCCTAGGAAGACCCCTTTCCTGGCTCTCTCTTGGAACTTGGTTCTGTGGCTGGTGATGGTGCTTGCATAACACAAGCAGCCAAAGACTTTTAAGTCTTGAAGATCAGGAGGTTTGGCATGGATCCTTTGGTAGGGTGTGAGATTGTTTAGGACTGTGGGGACTCTGTTGATTAGATATACAACATGTTTAACACAATCTCCCCAGAAACCAATAGGTAGATTAGCTTGGAATTTTAAAGCTCTTGCTACTGCTAAAATGTGTTGGTGCTTTCGTTCCACTTTACTGTTTTGTTGTGGGGTCTCAATGCATGACATCTCATGGAGAATGCCATGTTCAGTAAAGTAATCAGTCATCTGGAATTCCCTACCCTGGTCACTCCTAATTGTTTTAACATGTGAGTTGAATTGTTTGGTTATCATGGTGCAGAATTGGATCAGTTTGGGACGAGCATCAGCTTTGGAAGAAAGAAGGATGATCCAAGTCATCCTGGAGAAGTCATCAACAATGGTAAGGAAATATTTGAAACCATCATAAGTAGGAAAGGAATTGGGACCCCAGATATCAACAAGAATTAATTGAAAACATTGTTCTGTGACAGTGGAACTGGAAGAAAAAGGAAGCCTTTTCTGCTAGGCAAAATGGCATACATCACAAGGTAAGCTGCTAATGGTTTCAATGGATGTACAGAGTTGTTTGAGTTGGGGAATTCTACTGTGAGAAACATGGCCAAGTCGAAAGTGCCATATATCAAAAGGTGGGGAACCAGCAACTGCTGTGATGTGGTTAGGTATACTAGCTAAGGGTAGGTTGATGTGGTAAAGGCCATGGGGGAGCTTAGCAGAACCAGTCACTCTCTTCAGCTTCATGTCCTGTATGGTGCAAGAATCAAAAGAAAAGGTTAAGCAAAGGGGGCTAGTTGTGGTGAGTTTGCTTACTGAGAGAAGATTGAATGT